ATAGGCGCTGGTGGCGCTATCCTACGGCAGGTAGCGTAAGCTTTACGTAGACAATGCAGACGACGGCAGTGATGCCAACTCACGTCTAGAACATCCGTCACGTACCAAGTAAGGCGGGGTCCTCCACTCTCCAAGTGGGTGTACAACGAGTTGCGTGGGTATCCGCGAGTATTCGAGAGTATTAGCGAGTATCCGCGAGTTTATGTGAGTAATGGCGAGTATCCGCGAGTATTTGTCGATTTTTTCGCGAGTTTTCGCGATTTTTTCGCGAGTTGTCGCGAGTTGCCGCGAGTATCTTGCGAGTATTTTTCCTGGTGTACAACGAGTTGACGAGTGGGGGACCCCTCGGTAGGGCGCCGTTCAGAAACCACGACAGTGTGGAGGGAGGGGGTGAGGTCCAGATATTATGGGGTCTCCACAGGATCAGAAAGGTCATTGGAGTCCAAGTAGACTCCATGATATTTGTACCCTGGGGTAGAAATATATCATGGGGTGTTCTTGGACTCAAATGACCGTCCTGATCCTTTTGGGGCCCCATAATATTTGCCCCCTCCCCTATTGTGCACGTGTTTAAAAGTAGTCTGCTAAACTTGTTGCTACATCAAACTTCGTGTTTGTTGGGTTTCGCAGTGTTAAAAATAAGAGCCGGATACGGTACCAGGTACGGTGCACCTTACTCAGTCAATCTGAAACATTCTACGGAGCACAGAGCTGGTTGCGATTTACATTAAAACAGGTATGCGATAAGAAATGAATTTATGGAAATCATTTAAAGTAGGCATACGTGTTCCAAGGTAAATCACAACCCTATGACATGTGGGCTCGTTTTAAAGAGAATTTAAGGGCGAGGAAGATGGCATCCGCAGAAATTAAATTTCCGTTCATGGTCAGAAAATTGCAGTTTGAAGTGTAGAACTCTTCAGTTTTGCAGTTACTGTGATCTTGTTCTACACTGGGTTTTGCACAGTGTCTAAGTCACGCGTCGTTGTTTCTGTCTGTGAAGGACTTGCCTCGAGAAGAGGTGTGGGAGGAAGGGGAGTACGACTTCACGGTGGCGTTCCACCCCGCCGGCCTCCTGCAGGTGTGGCTCAGGCCCGACACGGTGGCGCAGGTGCCCATGCTGCCGTGGAAAGGCTATTCTCTGGAGCTGAAGGCCTTGCACCCCTACGGCACCTTCAGCTACAGCAGACAACGTGAGCAAAAGTGTTCAATTTAAAAAGAGAAATCGAATGCAACTAACGGCAGTGTGTGTGCGTGCGCGCGCGCATGTGTGTGCGTGTGTGTGTGCGCGCGCGCGCGCTTTGGTCCAGGTACACATTCAACACACACAGACTTTGCGAAAATCGACGTACTTACTATTTTTTTGACGTCATAACTTCGATGTAGAATCTAGTTCTGATTTCTCGCTGAGGCTTACTGGGTGAGCTGGATTAACTTCCACATGTTCTGAAGTCTGAAGTTAACATACCGGTTGTTGATGGCATTTTTCAGAAAAGAACAGTTTGAGGGCCTTCCCGGCTGCCCGCTTCGCCGCACCAGTTCGCGTCAACTCCAAGCACCACCTGCGTACGAACTTTTCGACACCATCTGCTATTCAGCCCCCATTTGTTGTCTAAATTAAAATTACACACTGTAAATTAATATCAATACATTTCCACAGCAGTGACGTGAAGCTAGTTTCATTGATATTTCATGAAAAAATTGATACAAAATCCCTCTTTAATCCCCACTTTCCCATTTATTTGTATTCCGAATTCTCTACAGCGCAACTTTTCAAATTGTATTTAGTTCGGCAGAGCGTTTTGTGCATTGCCGAGCTGTGCAATACCTCGATACTCCGATATCGATGAAATATCAATTAGGCGTCGATATGCCCCCGATATAGATATCAAAGCATCGAGGCCTCGACAAATTTCGTCCACATTCCTTGATACTGTTCCATACCACGACATTTTACATTTTATCGCAAACTAGTTTTACCAGTGTAGCGATATGAGAGCGTCACCCTGCTGCCCCTTGCTGCGGGTGGGTAGGCAGCCCAACGTGCCGCCGTGTCCCGCAGCAGGCGCGGACTACTAGCGCACACCACAATCCCAGCCACAAATGCATCGTCGAAATTTGGTCGATTTCATCGATCGACCCAAAATCGACGTCGATTCGATGGGATTTTGTCACTTAAATCGACGAATTGTCGACTTCGACGTCGTTTCGACGTCGTTTCGACGTCGTTTCGACGTCGTTTCGACGTCGTTTCGAGTTCACATTTCTGGCTGGGAATCTTAGATTAGACGCTTACTGTGTGAGAAGTGCAAGTGAACATGTTCAACAGATGAGTTGCACATACCTACAAGAGCACAACTACCGAGTTGAACAAGTGTACTACTACTGAGTTAAACAGTTGCAAGTATACTCAACTTACAGTAGCACACTTACAAGTGATGAGCAGTTGCAAACACTTGGTTTATCAGTGTAAGACCGAGGCATAATCTCAATCGTTATAATTGCGCCAATATTTACAAAGACAATTTTGTTTAAGTTTTATTTTGTTGATTAGAGTTTATTGGCATACGTTTTATATGCAGTTTATTCGACTTACGAAAACAAGAACAATCTCTTTTATCTTCGATTAACTGTGTGCGTATCTACCACTAATACGAGTCGATCTTCTTTGACACTTCCAAGTTCAATGCATCCAGTTCTTGCAGTGAGTTTTGTATAGCCTGAGAAAAGGTTTTTGTTTTGTTTTGTTTTATACGTTTTAACACTTAACAAAGACAGTACATAGCAGTAAGAAAAAGTCCTTAACTTACTATTAATTCCTTCTCCTTCTGGCTTCTCTTCACGGCAGTAGTTTCGTCCTCTCTCAATAGTTCTTTCACTCTGCCTCCCAGTTGAGATGCAAGTTGCGGCTGCATATCCTTATGAAGTCCATGCACCATGTAAGTCATTGTCGCTTTTGCCACCGTGTCAGCAATTCTATTCGCAACTGCCTTGTAATACACTTGCAACATATACCCTGTGAAACCAAAACAGAATTTTCACTCGTTTGTTCACGAACCCAAGAAGCCAAAGAAACCGTGGTTTTCACGAAGACCTCGTTGTGACCTCGTTATGACTTACGAGGTCACAATGAGGTCTTCGTGAGAAAAACGATTTCCTTCGGCACTTGCTCTGGTTAAAAAAGTGTGCTATTTTGAACATTTAAGGATGCTTTTCCCTACTGAGCACACTTCGTGATGTTTAAGCATACTAGGTGGCTGATTAACCCCGCGCACTTCAGCGCCGTGGTCAGGTACGGTGCAGTATATGATGTAAAACGTACAGTGAGTTTTCTTGCCCGAATCGCATAGAGCGACCTGCGGCTTCATAGCTCTGTTAGAGCGATGTTTGCTAAATGACTCAATATGAGTCTCCTTCGTAACCGAAAATGTCGCAAAAACGACTTTAAACGAGCGATGTTTGCGAAAATGACTCAAAATTAGACTTTTTCGTAACCAAAAATGTCGCGAAACCGACTTCAAACAAGCGATGAAATTAATATCGCTCCCCTAGGAGTCATAAAATTGGATTGACAGCCTCGCCCTATCTGGATCGAATTAACTAACTCCTGCACTTGGAGTGTAACTGCAGAAGTGCGCAAGGTAATCAGCCACCTGGTAAAGCCGGTAACACATTTAAACGTTTTGGAAAAGTTCGCACAGTTGGTTAATATACACTGGTCTTAATAATTGTGCAGGAATGGTATACCAACCAAGTGTCACAAGTTGCAGTTGTAGGGCCTTTTTCCGCGAATTTTGATATGCATACCCCAGAAGCGTCAAAGCATTAAATGCGCTTTAATGCGCATGGAAATGCACATAAAAGGTGACACATTGGTGCCTTATTAAATGCGCGTAATGTGCACTAAATGCATATTATTATGTGATGCCCTAGGCTCAAGTGGGTCTAGAGGTGCGAATATGTTCGGATCCGAACGAACTGGAACGAACCGAACATAAAAATTTTTCGTTCGAGACCGAACATGAGGTGTTCGAGCACGGTAACTGATAACTGAAAAATAACGTATTGAGTGTTCGTTGTCAATCAATAATGTTCAAGGCGTTGCTCAAAAACTTGTCTAAAAGAGCAAGTAAAGTGACGATGATCAAGTGATTTGTCATCGTGCGCAATGACTGATTAAAAATAATTATGAAAAGAGAACTTTTAGGAAGACTGTTCGAGCACTGTTTGTTCGGATATGAACACAAAGATGTTTGGTTCGGTTCGTTCGAGAAATTACAGAGGTGTTCGTGTTCAGTTCAGTTCGAATTTTTTTTTTCAAAATTTGTTCGAATTCGAACCAAGGCTGTTCGTAATTTAGTGGGTCGTCCGTGAGGTAATTTACAGTATCTCGACAAAATGTTTAAAACGTAACAAGTGTTACTTACCAACTCGTCTGACTTCCTTTCTTTCAGACATACTGCAAGTTAGTCCAACATTAATGTCTCCCTTTGGAAATGGATTCAATTTCGCAAAGTCTTCGTCTCGTTTCCATAGAAGCTCGAAATTCCCTACGGTGCCACGTAAATGTCTGTGAGTTATATGCCCTTCTTCAATGGCGATCGCTTCATTAATCTTAAACAAAAGAAAACATTATGTTCTTTTTTGTTGTTGAATTTAATTGTTCTTTGAGAGAAAAGTCCAGAAAAGGACTTATAATTGGCGCCCAGGAGTAAATGTCCAGGAAAACTCCCCAAATTTTGAGGAAATTTCCTCAAAAAATGTGAAAATTTTCCTAATTTTTTGAGATGTCCTCAAACATGGGAGTTCGTCAAAGTTTTCCCCTCTTTTCTCGAAAAGATGTATGGCATCCGTGCAGGATATA